AATAGATCAATAATTAGAAATGTACCTTAAATTACTCTAAGTTTCAACTGTAATATTTGACTTTTGACCATCGACTTTTGACCATTGAAACACGTTTCCCACTTTAAAACTAAAAATTAAAAACCTCTTTTTTTTATTATTATTATTAATTGACATATATATTATAATATCTCAAGCTGGTTAAGATAATACTATTAACATTAATTATCTCTTTTAAAGTATTATCAACTTTAAAGTTTAATATTTAAGATATTTTTCCTTAAAAGGTGTTTTAAAAAAAAGTTATACATATATACTCATAACCTTACTTCTCTTAAATCATGAGAAATTTTTTAAGCATATTATTGAAGTATTTACTCATTAAATTTATATAATAAAAATAACCTTTTTTATTTATAAGACTCAGTTACGTAATTGAATAAAGGAAGATGGATTTAATTTATGTAAACATATATATATATATATATATATATATATATATATGTATGTATGTATATGTCTGTATATTTATTACGTTGTAGAAAATAAAATCTGAAATAATGGGATGCAAGAAGAATAAGATGTAAGAACAAAACTGCTTTTCTGTTTTTGTATTTTTTTTTTCCTGAAAGCACACAAAAATAAACCGATAAGAAGCTAGTGCTATTTACACTCCCCTTTCTCATTTTGTTTCAAACTATCTGCTAACCACACCCCTCCCATCGTTCCATCTCTTTCTTCCAATTTTTAACTTCCCTAAAGTTGGGATCAATGCTTTGGAATGTAGTCAAAATGTAGTTCATAAAGAAACAAAATATATTCAAATTATTAATTTTTAATTTTTTTATAAGTATTATAATTGCAATAAAATCTTATTTTTACAGATATATTCAAATTAAAAAAATATATTTAATTTATATGAAGGAACTCATGACTTGTAATATTGCATGCATTTGCATGGCATTTGATAAGGAAAGGCCCCACCTTATCCAGAAATTAAGTGTAAAAATTAGTGAGAAAAAAGAAGAGGCTCATGTTCTCTCCATATCTGGTTTGTAATCCAAAACAACTCACCTTCCGCCACGGAATGGGGAGACATGGCTCTCACTGCCGCTCTTTCTTCTTCTCTTTCTTCCGCCGCCGGAATATTCCCTCGCCCCACTAAAACCACACCCTCTTTCCACTCCTCCACCACCTTCCACCACCATCACCACCACCACTCTTTCTTCTTGCGAGGTTTCTCTTCTTCTCTTCACTTTCTCCTACACACATCATTTCAATCACTTCAACATATGCAACTGCTTTTGTTACACCTTTTTCCTTCCCATCTACTTTACAAAGTTTAATTAATGATCATGCATGTATTCATAATATAAAATATAGAGAAAGATAACAAAACAAAGTTGATAGTTCATGTAGAATTAAAGGGTTTTTTTTATGGATCAGATCGTGTAATACAGTGAGAATTGTCCTTGATTATAGTTTAATTGGTTCTTTTATGATTTGGATCTCTTCCTTCTCTTGCAGTTGCTTGAGAAAAAGTTTATCAAAATAATCTTAGCACATATATATATGTATGAACTAATACTACTTTGGTGTTGTGAACTTGTGATAGTAGTGGCATATGTTGATATGTATTTAAGATGTTTTTCAGTTGCAAATGACGCTGATAGGAGTGAAGTTTCATCTGATACTGGAACCAAGGCATCATCGTACTCAGAAGCTGATAAGATGGTTGATGGTATGGACTTTGGTGAGCTTTGCAATGAGTTTGAGTGCATCAGCAGCCCCTTGGTAGAATCTACTGCAAGACAACTTGCACGAGATATACTTGAACAAAGGGAGGGAAATCGAGCACTTGGAGTCTTTGCTGTTTCTGTCACATACAAGGTCTTGCTTTGATTTTCCTTAACACACCCCATTTTCTGTATATGATCTGTTCCACGTTTTCATCAAGAAAACAACAGGCTTCTTTTCTGGTAACAGTGTTTCCCCTTTGTGACAGAACAAGGGATACCAGTTTGTTTTCTTGATTGAATGTTTATGCCAGGAAACAGAAAGTTTGAAGGACTTCGGGGTTATTCAAATAATAATAATGCTTAACTAGTACATTAAGCACTATAATTTTATGTGAAACTGTAGCATACAATGTTGTTAGAGTAATATTATTATGGTTTTTGATATAAACAAATTGAATGATTTACTGTTTAATTGATATTCTTTGGACAGTCCTCCTTAGCTGAATTTTATGTTATGTCTATGATTCTGTGATCGTTTTTAGGATCCTATCAGAAGTTTTACTGGTCGTGAGAAGTATAAAAGAGCACTATGGGCTACTGGTGCACTAGACAACGCATCTGTGGTGAGCTCAATTTCTAGGATCCTTCTCCTAAAGCAGCAATTAATCCATGAAACAGGGATATTCTGTTGTTCTTCTCATGTGATAGCTTCCCTTGTTTGATAAATGCTTTGTTTTTTTAAGTAGGTTGGAACATATTACTAGTATCAATAAAGAAAATAACTACATTATATTGAGTTTTTCTTGTTGCAGTTTTCATTCTTTTTAAGATAGACTCTTCCAAAGTGACAAAATATGTAAAGATGTGCCTTGATTTGAAGTTATTTTATCCTAATAATTTTTTTTCACCTAGTAATATACTAGAAAACAGATTAGAAACAAAAATTAATGTGGTGTTTATGTAAATGAAATAAAATAATATTTCCTAAATATAAGAACAACAAGTCAGTCTTAGAGTTTCTAAAATGTTTATGTGGTGCAGACTGTGCAGGAAATGGTGATGCTGTCAACCAGTGTTTTGAGTATCAAGTGGACAATAAGAGGGAAGCCAAAATCTGTTATTGGAGGAGAAGGTTTAATACTTAGAATCACTTCCAAATTTACTCTTAACCAAATTAGTGGTCAAGTCATTGAGCATGAAGAGTTTTGGGACTTATCAGCTTCATCTGCTAGTGCTCAGACATTTTTCTGGACATCACGTGCTCTTTTCTCTGCTATTGAATCTGTCAAAGACTTGGTAGACAATGCTAAGAATTTGAATAGTAAAATTTCAACCAAAAAAGAGAACTTGGAGATGTATCCTGATCCTTCAGGAGATCCAACCAAGGTTAGTTCTTTTTCTTCTATAGATGAATTCCAAAATGCCAGGCTTCAATGTCCTATCTTTTCTCATATTGGGGGCTTTTCTATTTTACTTAAATTAGTTAAATGCTTAATCATAGTTTATACTATTGGTACCTAAATGAACAAGTGACTTTGACTTCATTTTTTAAACTTCTTAAAATAGACTAAAAAGTGTTGTTTGAATAAGTATATAATGAGTACTTATTAAATTCCATCTCATTTTCTTCTCTTTCAGGTGTTTGTCGGTAAGTTTATCCAAATATGATCAAATTCATAATCCACTTTCTTAAACTCAACCAAACACACCTTCATAATGAATCAATCAAATTGTTCAAATCTTAAGTTTATGCCACTGCATTCATTATCACAAGAATCTGATTATATGAAGGCCTTGCAATCTGATTAGTACACATGCCATTTTCTTTCTGAGTTGTTCATTGCTTTTACTTTTATTCAGTTCTTCCAGAGGGATGACAGTTTTCAACGAGATGCATACCAGATTGCACTATTCCTGGCAGTTATTTATTTGGTGGTACAGTTTATAAGGACAACTTTGTAGAGATATCCTTCCTTTATACCAACTGAACTTGTGTCTCTTTGTTCTCCAATAGTTTATCATTGTAAAGTGTGATTATCAGCTTATACAGTCATCAGGTTGTTTTGTCAAAATTACAAGTAAATATGTATGCTCTTATTTGTGAGTGTGTCTATAAAAATTAGACAATTCTGTTGCAACTTTTAGCAGGTTCTTCTGATGCCACAACCTCAAAGGACCATTTGATTATTCTGCAACAAAACAGGCTAACAAATATTCAGGATGTGTGTGATATTTTGTTTAAAACTGATAAGTTTTACCTTTTAATGAGGGAAAGCCAAAACAAACCAGGATCAAAGTGGAGAAAACCTTCCAAGATTGTAGCAGTAATTGGTATATGGACTATTCTTGTTTAGCACAATAGGTATAATAACAAAACCAACCAGAATTTTTAAGGTATACTAAACTAACTTCTGAACTATTCTACATACATATTATTATTGAAATACATTTTGAACATCTAATTAATCGTTTTTTGATGAATTGATGAGAAGCACTCTCTTATAGAAATTGTATAAGACTTTCACCCATAACAGTGTGAGAGATACCTACTATAAATATAAAATCAAAGGTTCCTCCCATGGTTGTGGTTGGCGTGTTGATATATAAATTATATTAGAGGTTAACTCGTAGGAACGTGGTTGTGCTTACAAGAGTGTGGAGACACACTATTATAGAAATTGTATCAGATACGTGAATGTTGAAGACATCCTAGTACAGAGATTGAATTAAAAGTTTGACCACAAGAATATGACTGCACCAAACAATGCTCATTTTATTATAAGATAAACATTGCTTAAAAACTTCATATTTTTGTTTAGTCAACTGAACCCTTTTTGCTATTGATTTTCTTTGACTGAAAACTATCAAAATTATTTTTCATACAAGGATTTACATATTTGTTATGGCATTGGAATATAAAATGTACTTTCAAAAATTAGGCAAACTCTTTAACTATTACGTACTTAAAATAGTTTTATTTATTTTTTATTAGTTTTGAATAGGAAAGGTACTGAACAATTTAGTCAACTTCATTTATGGTGATTTTAAGTAAAATGGTTAAAATTTAAAGTTTTACAAGGAAGAATTGTTTACTCGGGAATGTTTATGCAGTTGACTTTAAGGTAACAGAAGTACAAAATTACAGTTCAGAATTTGAAAAATGTCCTTCTGATAGATGGTACCCAACCATGCATTCAAGGTGTAATTTGATGCCGACTTCTTCAATCACAACAAATGACCATTACTACATTTCAAAATGTAATTAAGAAAACCAGATTCATGTTTGCAGATCGAAAGAGCAGTGTGATTTACTCAGCAAAAAAATGTGGATCTTACATGAAGAACAGTTTACAATAAACTATTTTTTAACAATTTTCCTATGCAGCAATAATGCAATATCATCACAAAAATGATATTGTATCCTTTAGAACTTTGTGCCTTTCTCTTTTAAAAAAAATTATACAAGGAGACAATTGAAAATAACTCAGAAATCCCTCCCCTATCTCACTTCTTTTTCTATGTACTCGAGAAATGGTTAATTTATTCCAATGAAGCTTACCACCAAGGAATTAAGTTACAACAAATTGAAATAAATACCACCCTCGTTTACACTGTTGAATTAAGAGCTTAGCATTGTAATAAGCATCATGAAGAGCGTTAATACACTTCCAATTATCACGGTGGAAGCTGAAGAAAGATCATGTGCGCTCACTGCATATACCTTTCCAGTTTCATCATCCTTCACTTTGATGCTGGTAGAGCCTACACAACCAACAACACAATGTTTAAATGATCTTCTAGTACATGTCAATTCAACAAATTTATCAGTAAAAGACTATAAAATCATAATGAATGCAGATATAATATAATAAATAGTTAGAACATATCAAAGGCAGGACCTGAAATTGATGGAATATGATTCTTATTAGCAAATATTGGAAGAAACAATCCTAGGTGATATCATTGATATAACCTTAAGAAACTTAGCATATAAATAAAAGGGTACTCACAATTGTGGTCAGTCCATCCAATGGTCATGTTTTCAAGATCATATACAACTAACTTGTTTGACAGCACCAAATCTGCAATAGGAAACAATTCCATGTAAATAAATGATAGTCATCCAATGACACTTGTTTCCAAGATGATCAAAAATTCTGAATTATCATCAATGAGGTTATGTCTATAATTAAATTTTACTACAAAGAACAAGGAATGTACAAACATGATATGAAAGTTTTTAATTTAACAAAAACAGCTATCATATAACAGAAACAGACTCTTCAGCTCAGCTAACATTATATACAAGGTCCTAATTTAACATAAAAGACAATTAAGAATAGAATGGACAAAACAAAACCATAATAACAAATAGATTAAATCATAAGTGAATCATAATTCCAAAATTTACCTCCAAGAAGAATTATCTCCTGTCCATCCTTAGTTTGTGCAATACTTTTTTGCCAGCCAACACACCACATGTTCTCCTGAGGGCAATGACAAAAGAAAAGATAATACTAATAAATAACAAAATTGAACATCTGAAACACATTTTTCAAAATTGAAATTTTCTTCAAAAAAAATGGGCACATTATTGAAAGCAGATTGCACTGAAAGATAAATAAACCACTTAATTTTCAAGTCCAAAGTGTACAAAGCACCTGGTAAATTTAATTTCCAAGAGGGAGAAATTAATCAGGCAATAGGTTAAACTTCATGGTATAGTTTCCATACTAAAATAAACTTGTATATTGTCTGACTGGTTAAACATGTAACAACCACAAAGGTTATCATTAAATTAGAATATGTATTCATGAGGAACAACCACTTGTTCAAATTCCACTCACTTTAAACAGGAATAGGTAATCATGAGGATAAGTTGTCAGAGTTAGTCCGTCATCAAAGGTAAACTTGACAATTGGAAATCCATCATCAACACTGCAAAATTACAATGGTCAACAAGTTAAGAGATGCATATGCAAGAAAATAGATGTGAAATTATTGCATTCTTGAACTCATGAAAAATTCACTTTGAGAATACATTGTTTATATCAGAGAACCATCTGAACAATTTGTGCTCAATTACTATTTATGTATTTATAAGACTATCTCATTTGGAACAAATGTGGAAAGAAAATTTTTGTTTTATACTTCTAGTAAAGTTGAACAACCATACAAAAGACTGTTAATGATCATTTAACCAACTCTACTGCTGCTTTACTGAACAAAGAAAGAAAGAAAAAGGACAGAGCAATACAACTCAACAAAATCCAATAGAAAAGGAAATCAAGAAAGAACATCTTGAGGGTAGCATTTTAAGAAAGTTTCTTCGATGCATCCTTGGCTATTAAAAGATCCTCACAGTACCTACCAGATTCATTCACTTCATCAATAATCAAAACAGTAATTTTAAAGTCAATAAATTGATTATGTCAAAGTTCTGTCACTGCTAAAGTTCAAAAAATAACAAAAAAACACATGTGTCATGCCACAACCATTCCACCTCCGCATACACCAAAATAGTTTATTACTAATATCATCTAAAGAGAGATAGCTAGATATTTTTTGAAGATAAATTTTCATGACAACCTGGCGTCAACATACTGTATGGATCTAACAACCAAGAAAATATACCTTAGTATCTCCCATTCATAAATTATGGTGTATATGTAAATTAAACAAATGACAAATCAAATAAAGAGGTCATCACACCTTTATATAGGAAAATGATATTTATTTCAAAAGAAAATTGAAGCAAAATAAAGCCACAGAGATGAGTATCATACTTATCATCAAAACGGAAACATGTAAATTGTTCTTCAACAAGATATAATTTCATTCCAGGCTGTGCAGCCAAAACCTATCACAAAGAAGAATAATCATGAGAATTCAAGTAGGAAAAATTGATTTACTTAACTCTTAAAATTACTCTTACCTTCTCTAATATTTGATCATAAACTGTGGATGGAAGATAAGCCAGGGTTGTACCACTATCTATAATTGCTTGCCTCCCATTTGAAAAATCAAATATATCTGTGGGGAGTTGTACACTATCCCCACCAACCTCCAAGTCCTTCAAAATCACATTGTAGTGTGCCCTAAAATAGTCAGTAGACTACAATTAGAACATAATTCCAGTACCAAAACTTAAACATGATTTAAAACACACTAGAAGAATCTGATATAACATCTGCAAGATAATCAGAGCCCTCACAGTTTTTCTGCATTGCTTATATCAGAGATTTCACAATGAATCCATCTTCCTAAAAGATGACGGCCTTACAAGAATAAAATATACAAAAAAGAAAACTTTATTGGATCAATTTTCCCCTCAAGTGGACCACAGAAAACAAAAGGACTTTCGAAAACAATATCAATAAAAACCAGTTACATATTATTTGTGTCCCACTTATATATCTCACATTTATAGTATTTTCATCAATTGATCAAATCAATTTGATACCATAATCATAAGGTTTTTGCTAAATATATCAAGACAATAAAGAATTCAAAAGTCAATAATAATCTTCAAAAAATATTTCCTCTATAAAAACTCATCAGAAGTTAAATGGAAGTACCCTTATCATTCAATATATACTACACTAATCAATCAAAGTACAATTATCAAACAACAAATCAAATACAGTTACAAGAAATAACATGCTATGGAAACAAAAGGCTAAGACTATTCCGCACATACATTTTTTGTACCAATGAAGTTTTGTTAAATTTTGGCTGCACTACTTCCCCTATGGCAAATACTCCTCCTCCATTATAACTGTCAAGACAGTGGGAAAATACCCTTTTCACCTTTCCAGCTGCAGCAAGTTGTGAAAGCACAGACGCATTTGATTGTCCTAAACCAATTATTCCATCAAGGGATTCCTCAGAACCTGAACTCAGTGTCCCAGATTGTTTAGCTCCACACCTATCAGGAAGTGAATATTCAGGTAGAAATAAAACACAAATGGAATGGTGACCTTTTTCTTTATGTATTTACCAACCTAGGAAGAAGCAATATTATAGTTCCAAGCAAAACCGAAAACAAAAACAAAAACCTAGTGCTATAAAGCACTTGCTATCCAGAGGGTCTAGGGAAGGGTAACCATGACCTTTGGCTCACTCAGTTATGCATGTGTTAAATATGAAGAATTACAAATTGCACTCACCCAAAAATAACAGTGCTATTATCTGGTACAGTCTTGAGATCACCATTGGCTCGGTTGAATGTAATATAATCCTTAATATAGGACCCAGTGGTTGTACTTCCATCTCCATAAGTTATGCTGTACGGACAAGCCATGTCTCTTGAGCAGCCAGAAATAGGACCATTATATGTGGAAGTGCAAAATTTATCGTCACAACCAACCAAAGATGAAGCTGTGGATTGTGCAGGGTCGTAGAGGGTTAAGTCCATCTGCAACATGATAATAATATGGTAAAACCTACATCGGTAAGTTGTCAAGCATTACAAATTTTACTATGAAAAATATGCTTCATTGTCATATGCACAAGGATATATGACTACTCCTTAATAAGATCACATAACTCATTTCACCTCAACTAATCCAACTGAAAAACATGTATCCAAAATGTACGACATTTCATGTTAATCCAATCACTCTGATTCATGAACAAATGAAGCAAACATGTACCGTGCATTCTACCATAACAACTTTCAATATACTTATATTTTAACCAAATGCCATGAATGTTGAAACAGTAAATTAAGTGTGGATACATACACCAAGACCACTTTTCCTGGGACATGTTGTGCAGCCAACACAATTCACCCACAGAAGGTCACTTCCTGTATCAACCTGCACATAGTAGTCCTTCGCGGGAGAGCCAAGCCCAATTTTTGTATAATACAGTCTGAACAGATTACACAAACAACATCAAACACGCAAATAAAACATGGCGACAACCTTCAGAGCATGCAACACACAAACCACACTTGATTGAGCGCAAAAACACAAAAAAAGAAAAAGAAAATAGGTTTGCATGTGAAAAACAAAATGTAAAGAGAATACAGAGGAGGGAAAACAAACCGACCCATTTGAATTGGCACGACCATTGCCACCGAGAGGAATATCAACGGCAGAGAGAAACCTCCCTCGGCGCTGAGCATCATGATCTTTGATAGCAGCAAGGTTTTCAACGGAGCCTTTGAATTTGCGTTCAACAGGGAAAACCAAATTGGCATTGGCAACACAAAAAAGTTGCAAAAGAAACAAGCCCACAAGAAAAAACACCAATCTTTCTTGAAGATCCATTTTTTGGGTAGAGGGTAGCTTCAAGAAAAAGCAACAACGAAGAACAACACGGAAACAACAACGACTAATTCAAAAGCATTGCCGACCCAGATAGACAATAAGGGTCGGTGAATGAAACAAAGAAGTGGGATAGGGGAGGTCCGAAGAAACAAACTAATACAAAATGAAAGCGACGCATCTTTGATAAACACGGACATACGAGAGAAAGAGAGAGACAAATGGAGAAAAAAGAGGGAATTTCGCGGTTTCAGTGGCAAACGACACATCTTGAACAACATATTTAGAATATATATGCTCATATTTTAAAACGCTTAACCATTGAACAACATATTTAGAATATATATGCTCATATTTTAAAACGCTTAACCATAAATAAACAACATTGTTTCTTGTGACTGTAAATTTAACGTTTTTTTTTCTCTCTCTTATTTTTTGTTCCTTTCTTTGTTTTGCTTTATTCAGTTTGTCCCTTCTTCTTCTTCCTTCCTTGTTCTTTTTCTTCTAATCCAATTTTCAGCATCACTTTTTTTCATTCCAAACAAGCCCCATTGACTCTACTTTGCCACCTACTTATTCACGCCATTTTTGGAACAAAGATAAACATGCATCACACGCATGGATGATGCATCTTCAACTCTCATTTCGTCTTACATACATCACCATTTTTATTATTTATTATGTATTATTATAACGTATATCCTACTTTCCTTAATCTGTAATATTTATTTTCCAATTGTTAAAACCATATTTATATGAACCAACTTCGATGATCACGTCATGTTTGTGGATTAATTCATACAATTTTTTTGTTTAATCGATATTTTCAATTAGTCAAAACATTAACATCGTGATAACGCACTTTACTTACAAACAAAAGGCTTACAAAACAAAAGGCTTACAAACAAAAGGCGTAGCTTAACGTAACGCAGTCTCCTGTTACTAGTTTTGTGATGGAAATGCTATTTAGGCAATATCCCATCCCATCAACGTCATATATAATTATTAAATTTATTGCAAAATTACCTAATTCAAATAGCTTTCTTTAATAGTGATATACTGAGATATTCTTTTATTAAAATATATATGTTTTTTTTTAATCATCAAAAAATGTACTTGTTTGCATCTCAATATAAAATTTCCAGTTTTGATTTTTTTCTTTTCAACAGAGAGATATTATTTAATTTTCTGTATTTCCAACAGATGAGAACCAGATCACTGATGATGGCATGTTGATTAATTATATATTTAAGAGTTGAGCTCAAAATTAGATTAAACTAAATGTAAGTCATTCATAGCTTACACTTTCTAATAAAATTCTTATTTAATAATAGTATTAATTAGTGTAGGAAACCTCTGTTATTTTAATACACGAAAGGTCTCTAAGTTACTTCCTAAACTTTAGTTTCTATTTTTTTTTCAAATTTAGTCATAATATTGTTTTTAATATCTCAAATTTTATAAATTTTGTTCAATTTTGTTCGATTTAATGTTTTTCTAACGGCATTTAACTAATAAGCGTAGAAACCTATGTTACTGTAATAAAAATAAGTCTCTAACTTCCTTCTTAAATTTCTTTTGCTTAAAATAATTTTGTTTGGAATTTATTGAAGTTTTTAATTTTTATTAATTTTATTCAATTAAGTGTTTTTAATGGTGTTTAAATAACTGATGGACAATAATTATTTGTTACTTTGTAATTTTTTTAATTTAAAAAATATATTTAGGTGTTAAACACTGTTGTGTTACATGTAGGAGTAGCATTTGTCACTACGATTTTTGTAAATTTCAATCACATATCAATATTTTATATTTAATTTAATTTATATATTTATTATTTTTGTTTAATTTAAACTTAAATTTTTTTTAATGAACAATTTTGTTCATTTTTAAAGTTAAACCACATTTAATTTTTATTTAAATTTTATACATATTTTTAGGATAAATTATTTGATTGATTTTTAACTTAAAAATCACAAAAACTATTAATTAGTTTAGTTGACTTTTACCCAAAAATCACAGTACTAAATAATTTATGTGATTTTTAACCTGTTAATTCTTTTTTATGAATAATGTCACACCTCTAAAATTTTTATTCTGATTTTAAACCAATTACATCTTTAAATTAGAAATATTTAATAAAAATGTGAATAATTTTGGTATAATGTATTTTGCATTAATTCTTTTTAAGAAAGACATAGAAGAAATTTGACACTAATGAGAAATTAAAAATTACTCCAAGCCAAAACCTTAATTTGGTCTTAATTTAAAAAAAATAAAATTGGTCCATTTTAAAAAATATTGGAACTAATTGAATAGAAATAATAAATATAGGGACCAAATTTAATATAAAAACATTGACACGTAACACTAACATGTATACATGGCACTCACACTAACACATGACACGATAGCTTGACACATGAACATTTTTCAATTAAAAAATAATGAAAAATAAATAAGAAAAACATCATCTAACACTTGACATACATTGTTCACTGTCTATTAATTATTTAAATAGTGTTAGGAAATAACTAAATTGAACAAAATGAATGAAAATTAAGATCCTACTAAAAAAATACTGAACAAAAATAGAAACTAAATTAGTATTTTAACCATTCCTTTTTTTTTTCTTTCAAAATGTAAACAAATTAAATTTCAAAATCAAAAGAATATACATATCTCTGATTTTGAAATTGAATGAAGTTTAAAGGATGTTCAAACTCTTGAAAAAGTATTTAGCAAACTAGTTCCACTACTTTTCATATATATATATATATATATATATATATATATATATGGGGTTTTCT